ATTCTTAGCTATTTCACTAGTATTACTTCTACTCTATCGATTGAGCACAAGAAATCGCCAAGTCAACTGTTTCAACTACAAAATAAAGTGATCGGAAATTGTTAATTTGGCCAATTTAACACAAAGTTCAAAATATTCCAATTTCAAAATAGGGTCCAGAATAAACAATGTAGGCATTCCTGGCACTAAACTAACATTTCCTCTGTTCATTAGTTATATCTTGAGGCTTTACAAATAAATTCCATTTTGATTTTTTATTCACATAATGAATTTTTATTCACACAAAAAAATAGAAGATTTACTGTTATGCAATACTGTAATAATTGTATAAATATCATCACCATAGTTGTGAATGTATATTAGACCCACCAGCTGACGTGTATTAGACGTGTGAGGTCGTTTGTTTACTCTTGAATATCGGCAAAAATTTAACATTTCCGCTACTTTGAGCTCAGTTTCAAGCCATTTCCAGTGCTAAAACCAATCAAAATCATCTCTATTTCTGTAACATGTCTTCAATTCTATCAAATGAGACCAAGAAATCGCAAATACACTATAAAAAAACATGCGAAAAGACACTGCAAAGTTGCTGTTTTAATCGAAAAATCATGATTTCAGTTTTTTTCTCTCATTATACACAGTGTGCTGCAGGATCTGTTTTATGTGGTGCACACATACCACATAGATGTATTCTCTCATATCTAGGCCCAAAATGTACCACTCACAGTTTTATCAGAGTGAGCTGAGCTCATGGCGTAGATCTACGGTTTGGACACTCACCGTAAAGCCGTTGATCTACGGGACGGACCCTGAAAGGGTTAATTAGATGTTAACCCTTTCAGGGTCCGTCCCGTAGATCTACGGCTTTACGGTGAGTGTCCAAACCGTAGATCTACGCCATGAGCTCAGCTCACTCTGATAAACTGTGAGTGGTACATTTGGGCCTAGATATGAGAGAATACATCTATGTGGTATGTGTGCACCACATAAAACAGATCCTGCAGCACACTGTGTATAATGAGAGAAAAAAACTGAAATCATGATTTTTCGATTAAAACAGCAACTTTGCAGTGTTTTTTCGTATGTTTTTTTATAGTTGTATTTGCGATTTCTCATTTGATAGAATGGAAGACATATAACAGAAATAGAAATGATTTTCATTGGTTTTAGCACTGGAAATGGCTTGAAACTGAACTCAAAGTAGCGGAAATGTTAAATTTTTGCCGATATTCAAGAGTAAACAAACGACCTCACACGTCTAATACACGTCAGCTGGTGGGTCTAATATACATTCACAAATATGGTGATGATATTTATACAATTATTACAGTATTGCATAACAGTAAATCTTCCATTTTTTGGTGTGAATAAAAATTCATTATGTGAATAAAAAATCAAAATGGAATTTATTTGTAAAGCCTCAAAACATAACTAATGAACAGAGGAAATGTTAGTTTAGTGCCAGGAATGCCTACATTGTTTATTCTGGACCGTATTTTGAAATTGGAATATTTTGAACTTTGTGTTAAATTGGCCAAATTAACAATTTCCGATCACTTTATTTTGTAGTTGAAACAGTTGACTTGGCGATTTCTTGTGCTCAATCGATAGAATAGAAGTAATACTAGTGAAATAGCTAAGAATTTGGTTGATTGGAATAATGTAATTGGCCTAAAATGGGAGTCAAAGTCGGCAAAATCGCCGATTCGTAAACATCGCTGACACATCAAAATTCGCGAGAGCATAATTTCGTCAATTTTCCACCAAATTTCGTACTTTTTGTTTTATTACCTTCACAAAAAGATTCTCTACGATTTCATAAGAAAAAATAAGAAATTTTTTTTTTTTTAAAATTCTTGGACACTGGTGCGTGACTCCAGATTTGGGCCTTGGACCCTGAAAGGGTTAAACAGGCTCACACCGACCCCCCCCTATCCCCAAGCTGGAAGGGGTCGCTTCGCTTACCCGTAACTCAAAGGCGCCCCGCCAATCTGAATAGCCTAGGGCCCGGAGATTTCTTAATCCGGCCCTGTGTGTGAGTGTGGTGAAAGTGTTGAATGATGATGAAAGTATTTTCTTTTTGGGGATTTTCTTTCTTTTTTGGGTCACCCTACCTCGGTGGGAGACGGCCGACTTGAAAAAAAAAAAAACTTTATAAATAAAATCTTTTATTTTGCAAGAACAGAATTTTTTTTTTTCAGCAAGTCGGCCTGTAACTTTAATATTCCTGGTGTATCATTCTAGATATTCCCTGGCCAGAGGGTGATGAGGCATTATCTGAAGCTGCTATCAAGATAATAGACAAGCTCTTGGCCTTTGATTCAAAAGTACGGGCAGGCTTTGAATTGATCAAATCAAGCTCCTTATTTCATTGCATCAATTTACCCAACTTGAGGGATATGCCAGCCCCATTTGTCCCTCAACCAGATGATGCCATGGATACCACCTATTTTGAAGGCAAGTTTATCATAGTTGATAAGGCATTTGCTTGTTATTGCATTGAATATTTTGTCTTTCATGTGCTGGCTTTTTATTTTTGCTATTGGCTAAGGTTAATGGGTAGGTCTTTGCAGATACAGTACTGTACATGTTTTTAGAAGAGTACTAAAGTCTTTATTTTTCCTTATTGGTAGCTGGAGTATAAATAGTGGAAGGTAGAATATGAGAAGAATGTCAGTAGATGATAAAGTAAAACTCTGTGGGGAAGTGGAAAATAATTCTTCCTGTGTAAGCCATGTATGTCGTTAGAGGTGACTGAAACTCTGGAGCAAGAGGCTAGTAGCCCTTTCTGTTTAAATTACTAACTTTGGGTCACCCTGCCTCAGTGGGAAAGGACCGGTATCTTGGAAAAAAAAAAAAGTCAGAGTAAATTAATAATAGACAAAGATTATTAGCAAGACGTAAGAAGCAGTTGTTGGGGAAAGACTGACTGTTGCGATGGAAAGTAACTGAGGTAATATCATAAATGGATTTTAGAATACAGCATCAGAGTCCATAGCAGAAGTTTGCTGTGATTATAGGCAAATAGGTGGTTGAGGGAAAGAGAGATTGTTGGTAGAATGATGAGACAAGAGTTCTCTATTTTATGTTTCTAGAATGGTTATCATGAGTGAAAGGTTGGCATATGATATGATTTTACAATGTCAAACTGATATAAAAAGAAAACAATATAATTTAAGTTAGTGTGAAGAAGTGCAGAAAAAAAATGAAAAAGTGAGTTTGTCAGTAAATAGTTTTGGAGAGAGATAAATAAGGTTAGAAAACCGAGAAAGCAAATGAGTTTGTTAAGAGTGAAAGTAGCTAGATGCTGGATGAGAAGCCATGAGTGATAGAGATTTGAAGCTAATTTAAATTTTTTATCATTGTGGATGGTGAAGTGTAGGCAGAATTTTCATGCTAATGACAAAGAAGCTTTATCAATCCAATTTTTGGATGGGTAAAGCTTCATGCTGGGAAACATTTTTTAATAAAACGTTCTAGTGTTACACTTTTTTTCTCTTTCAAAAACTGGCCATATCCCACCAAGGGGGTGGACCTAAAAAGAAAAAACAAAAGTTTTTCATTTTAAATTTAGTAATTTATACAGGGAAGAGGTTACTATCCCCTCGCTCCCAGGCATTTTATTCACCTTTACGACTTGCATGGCTTATGGAAGAAGATCTTTTTCTGCTTCCCTATGGAGATAAGCAGAAATAAGGAACAAGAAGCATTATTAAAATAGAAGAAAATCTAGATGGGGTGTATATAAATGTATGTGCATGCATGTGTGGTGACCTAAGTGTAAGTAGATGTAGCAAAATATAACTTTATCCCGTGTGTTTATGAGACAGAAAAAAGACACAGCAATCCTACATAATGTAAAACAATTACAGGTTTCCACTTCACACTTGCTTGGCAGAACAGTAGTACCTCTCTTTGTGGTTGCTGTCTACAACCTACTACCAAGGACCTGCTAATTATCATGGTTATAAAAAAATAACCTCATATACAGTAATTTATTAATAGATAAAAAATATTTTTTTTATATATAATAATACTTGTATAAAACTTTCAGCTCGTAACATATCCAGCACCTCACCGTGTCCAACTTCGATTTGTGAAGTAAACTGTTCTCTGAGTAAAATTCATTCTTAACTGTGATCAGCATAAGCGGCACATCAATTTGTGAAGCAAGGTGTTCTCTGGTGAAAAATCCATCCACAAATGTGATCAGCATCGGCAGCACATCATTTGTGAAGCAAGGCATTCTCCGTGCAAAATCCATCCGTAATTGTGATCAGCATCAGCAGCGTATCACAGGAAGAGCGTTGAAAGTTGTTAACAATGTCATGAGGATAATCCCTCGGTTTTTTTTTTTGTTCCACATTATGTCATGAAAAGCTTTTACATTATGTTTGATAGCTAAAATACAGCAAACTTGCATTGTTTTAATGTACTTATTCCACATTTTGTAATAATAAGAGGAAGTAATTCTCCATTGTTTTAAATTTTTGGTATCGTGCATTGGTTAGGTATACTTTTCCATAACTATGTTTTATTAAGAATATAGATATAATAACTATCTAATACATAGTATCAATCAAAACTTTATACATGTACCTGTATCAAATATTTGAGAAAAAAATTTGTGTGTTTCAAATCAGCTATTAAAGATCATCTAAGATATATTGATCATTTTCCTACTTTGGTTTAAGTATTTACCCAGGCAATAGTGGGTTTATTCACTATTAAGTCCATTGATTATTGCGGTATTATTAGTATTTGCATTTACATATATATTTTTTAACTGCCTTCCTCACTCTATAAATGTTGCCATCTGTTTTTGAGGTGATGGATGACCAGAGCATTCATCATCCTCAACTGATGCTCATCCTACTTTGAATCGAGAAAACCTACAATCTCTCTCATTCCCTTTCCCCTCAAGGAAGGTTCCTTGATGTTGGTGAGGGGCTCTTGATTTAGGGAATTGGATCTGTGCCCAGTTCCCGAATTAAGCCTGAATGCCTTCCACATATCCCCCCCCCAGGCGCTGTATAATCTCATTCCCTTCATCTCCCAGCTGAATGTGTCTTCCAGGTAAAAAGTGAGTCACTACTGGTAATTTCTTTTAATTATACTGTCTTTCCCTTCTAATTGCAATACTTATCAATAACAGTTGTAGATATCATTCATAATGTAACAGCTGCCAATGAAACACAAAAACCAAATAGGTTACAAAAAAAATGCTCCACATTGTGATTGTTGTTAGCAGCCTCGACTCAAATGTTCAATGACTTCAGTCACAACATAGCTGTGGACTCCAACAATTTGACTCACTAACAGTTTGTTGAGAAGTTTGGCTGTTTTTTATGAAAATAATAACAACAAAATGCTCTTCTACACATCTGAATTTTTTTTTTTTCAATGAACTGGCCATATTCCACCGAGGCAAGGTGACCTAAAAAGAAAAACAAAAAATTTTCTTTTTAAATTGGGTAATTTATAAAAGAGAAGGGGTTACCAGACCCTTGCTCTCAACATTTATGTCACCTTTTACAACACTCATAAATTACAGAGGAAGAATTCTTTTCTGTGAGAATTGAATTTGTTATGATGAAGAGGTAGCTTTCCACCCACCACTCTACCAGTAATTTCATTCTTATAAGGCTCGGTTTAAAAACTTTTTTGTGAATATATTAATAAACACAACCACACATTCGAATTGACTGTCCAATTCTCATTTATTATGAATGAGGGCTAGGAGAGAGGAAGGTAGGCAAATGTGTTTAAACACACTACTGTCACACTAACTTTGACCCTGGTATAAATGTGTTTAAACACACTACTGTCACACTAACTTTGACCCTGGTATAAATGTGTTTAAACACACTACTGTCACACTAACTTTGACCCCGGTAAAAATGTGTTTTAACACACTACTGTCACACTAACTTGACCCCGGTATAAATGTGTTTAAACACACTACTGTCACACTAACTTTGACCCGGTATAAATGTGTTTAAACACACTACTGTCACACTAACTTTGACCCTGGTATAAATGTGTTTAAACACACTACTGTCACACTAACTTTGACCCTGGTATAAATGTAAACCTAGAAATTTTACTGTTACAATATTTAGGAGTTCATTGCTTAATAAAATTATAAAAACACATTGCAATAAAACACAAATACACATAGGAGACAGGAACTCATGATGACGTTTTGGTCCAACTTGGACCATTTTCAAAGTCAGACCGAAAAGTCGTAGTAAGCTCCTCTCTCCTGTGTGGGAGTTATTTGTGTATTGTTCTGGTCATAGTATTGTGCCTTTTTTTCCTTGCATTGCAATAAAGTCACTAATGTCCACTTTAAGTGGATGACGGGCATAAACAAGGGAGATATTAATAAAGTACTGAGGGTGTTGAACCAGGAATAATGGATTTAAGTTGGATAAATTTAGATTTAGAAAGGACATAGGTAAGTACTGGTTTTCCAACAGAGTTGTAGATGTATGGAACAGTCTTCCCAGTGGGGTGATAGAAGCTAGGACCTTGGGTAGCTTTAAGAAGAGACTGGACAAATATATGAGTGGGAGGGGCTGGATTTGATTGGTGTCATTGGGTACGTGGGTTATTTCTTGGGAAGCTTTAGGTAGTAGTCATTTTGATAAGGACCTGCCTCGCATGGGCCAGTAGGCCTTCTGCAGTGTTCCTCCATTCTTAAGTTCTTATGTTCTTATATAACCTCAAATCTACTAACTCTTGTGTTGAACATTAAAATGGTATAAAATACCGACAGGTTGTTAGGTAAGACACATATGCAACAGTTAGGTATCTTTATTATGAAACGTTTCGCCTACACAGTAGGCTTCTTCAGTCAAGTACAGAAAAGTTGATAGAAGCAGAAGATACTTGAAGACGATGTAATCAGTCCATCACCCTTAAAGTTTTGAGGTGGTCAGTCCCTCAGTCTGGAGAAGAGCATTGTTCCATAGTATGAAACAATATTGTTTCATACTGTGTAGGCGAAACGTTTCATAATAAAGATACCTAACTGTTGCATATGTGTCTTACCTAACAACTCTTGTGTTGTAGATGAATGGTTCACAGAACTGACATGTTGATAAATTAGACATATGTGCAACTCTTGTGTATCTTTATTAAGGAAACCTTTCACCACACAGTGGCTTCATCAGTCCATACACAGGAGAAGCTTGAAGAATAGGAGGAGAATGAGGTAATCAGTCCCTCAACCTTGAGTCGATGTGGTCAGTCCATCAATCAGATTCGAATATGTAAAACATATCCTCACATATACATATGAATATAAACCCCCTATATAAAATGGTTCTTATAATGATAAAAGAATAAAGAGAAAATCACATACAACTTTTAAATCTGTAGGCTTTACAAAAATTGATAAGGTCTACATACCCCGCAGCCCCCAATGGCTCCCTGCAAATAAACTTTACCCAGGACACAGTGTCTCATCAGTCATTGCTGCATCTTCAATAAAGGTAAGTGTCATTTATTCTTCATTTAGTAGAGTAGTACATGCACAATATATACAGTGGACCCCCGCATACCGATTTTAATCCGTGCAAGAGGGGTCATTGTTATGCGAAATAATCGGTATGCGAATGAATTTTCCCCATAAGAAATAATGGAAATCAAATTAATCCATGCAAGAGACCCAAAAGTATGAAAAAACAAAATTTTTTACCACATGAAATGTTAATTTTAATACACACAAACTGAAAAAGGAATGCACACTTACATGACACTTACTTTTATTGAAGATCTGGTGATGATTGATGGGATGGGAGGAGGGGAGAGAGAGTGTTAGTGTTTAGAAGGGGAATCCCCTTCCATTAAGACTTGAGGTGTCGAGTCCTTTTCTGGGGTTACTTCCCTTCTTCTTTTAATGCCACTAGGACCAGCTTCAGAGTCACTGGACTTCTTTCGCACAACATATCTGTCCATAGTGGCCTGTACCTCTCGTTCCTTTATGACTTCCCTAAAGTGTTTCACAACATTGTCAGTGTAATAATCACCAGCACGGCTTGCAATAGCTGTGTGAGGGTGATTCTCATCCATAAAGGTTTGCACTTTCAGCCACATTGCACAGATTTCCTTAATCTTTGTAGTAGGCAACTTCTTCAATTTCTCTCTCCCTTCCTCTGAACCAGTTTTCTCAGGTCTGGCCTCTTGCTCTTGAAGTTGATCTATCAGCTCATCAGTGGTTAGTTCTTCATTGTCCTCCTCCACCAACTCTTCCACATCCTCCCCACTAACCTCCAACCCCAAGGACTTTCCCAATGCCACAATGGATTCCTCAACTGGCATAATCCTCTCAGGGTTAGCCTCAAACCCTTCAAAATCCCTTTTGTCTACACATTCTGGCCACAGTTTCTTCCAAGCAGAGTTCAAGGTCCTCTTAGTCACCCCCTCCCAAGCCTTACCTATAAGGTTTACACAATTGAGGATATTAAAGTACTCTCTCCAAAACTCTCTTAGAGTCAATTGAGTTTCTGAGGTCACTACAAAGCACCTTTCAAACAGAGCTTTTGTGTACAGTTTCTTGAAGTTTGCAATAACCTGCTGGTCCATGGGCTGCAGGAGAGGAGTGGTATTAGGAGGCAAAAACTTCACCTTAATGAATTTCATGTCCCCATAAAGTCACTCTGCCACGTCTGTAGGATGACCAGGGGCATTGTCTAACACCAGGAGGCACTTAAGTTCTAATTTCTTTTCAGTTAGGTAATCTTTCACATTGGGGGCAAATGCATGGTGTAACCAGTCATAGAAAAAGTCCCTAGTGACCCATGCCTTACTGTTTGCCCTCCACAGCACACACAAATTCTCCTTGAGGACATTCTTTTGCCTGAACGCTCTGGGAGTTTCAGAGTGATACACCACTAGCATTGGAACACATCAACAAAGTAAGCCTGTCTTTCATAGGCTTATGTCCTGGGAGTGCCTTTTCCTCCTGAGTAATGTAGGTCCTGCTTGGCATTTTCTTCCAAAACAGGCCTGTTTCATCACAATTAAACACTTGTTCAGGTTTCAGTCCTTCAGTCTCTATGTACTTCTTGAATTCCTGCACATATTTTTCAGCCGCTTTGTGGTCCGAACTGGCAGCCTCACCATGCCTTATCACACTATGTATGCCACTACGCTTCTTAAATCTCTCAAACCAACCTTTGCTGGCCTTAACCCTTTGACTGTCGCGGCCGTATATATACGTCTTACGAGGTACCGTGTTTGACGTATATATACTCATAAATTCTAGCGGCTTCAAATCAAGCAGGAGAAAGCTGGTAGGCCTACATGTGAGAGAATGGGTCTGTGTGGTCAGTGTGCACCATATAAAAAAAATCCTGGAGCACGCAGTGCATAATGAGAAAAAAAAAACTCCGACCGTTTTTTTTTAATTAAAATGCCGACTTTGTGGTCTATTTTCGTATGGTATTTATGGTTGTATTCTCGTTTTCTTGGTCTCATTTGATAGAATGGAAGACATATTATAGAAATAGAGATGATTTTGATTGATTTTACTATAAAAAGAACCTAGAAATGGAGCTCAAAGTAGGGGAAATGTTTGATTTTTGCCAATGTTCAAAAGTAAGCAAATGATGCCATTTTCCAGTAAATGTCCAACTAGCCATTCTAATATGCAGTCATGAATGGGTTGATGTTATTTATACAATTATTACAGTATTGCAGTAGTCTGCATAATAGTAAGTCTTCAATTTTTTGTTTGAATAAAAATTCAAAATAGAAAGCAAGAGTAATATCAGAGGGGCCTGGAAATACGACTGATGAGCAAAGAAAATGTTATTTTAGAGCCAGGAATGTCTGCATTGTTCATTCTGGACCTTATTTTGAAATTGTCATATTTTTTAGTTTTCGTGAAATTGGCCAAATTGCAAATTTCTGACCACATTATTAGGTAGTTGAAATCGGTAAATGGGCAGTTTCTTGTACTCAATCGATAGAAAAAATGGAGTTCTAAAGAAATAGCTATGAGTTTGGGCAACTGGAACAATGGAATTAGCCAAAAATAGGGCTCAAAGCGGGCGAAATCGCCGATTTGTAAACGGCGCCGAGGTCGCTAACTTCGCGAGAGCATAATTCCGTCAGTTTTCCATCAAATTTCGTTTTTTTTGGTGTCATTACAATCGGGAAAAGATTCTCTATCATTTCACAAGAAAAAATATTTTTTTTTAAATTTTGCGACACCAGGACGTAAGACGTATATATACGGCCGCTACAGTCAAAGGGTTAAATTCACTCACATCAGCACTAGTTGCAGGCATTTTTTTAATTAAATCCTCATGCAACTTCCTAGCCTTTTCGCTTATGATCGCTTGAGAGACGCTATCTCCTGCTAGCTGTTTTTCATTTATCCACACCAATAAGAGTCTCTCAACATCTTCCATCACTTGCGATCTTTGTTTCGAAAACACAGTTAAACCTTTGGCAAGAACAGCTTCCTTGATTGCCTTTCTGGTGCCCACAATAGTAGCGATGGTTGATTGGGGTTTCTTGTACAACCTGACCAGGTCAGCGATATGCACTCCACTTTCATACTTATCAATGATCTCTTTCTTCATTTCTATTGGAATTCTCACCCTTATTGGTGTAGGGTTGGCACTAGAAGCTTTCTTGGGGCCCATGGTCACTTATTTTCCAGAAACAGCACCGAAAACACTGTAATAATACGAAATATTCCGATTGTATGCTTGGATGTTACCGCGGAGGCTGGCTGGTAAACAATGGCACGGGCGGCACATGTGAGGCTGGCTGAGGGCGCACATTGGACGCGTCTCGGATGAAAATCGGTGAGCGGGTTTTTAAGCGGTATGCGAGGCAAAATTTTTGCGATTAAAGCAAGCGGTATGCGGATTAATTGTTATGTGGTGCCATCGGTATGTGGGGGTCCACTGTATTGTGCATGTACTACTCTACTATTGTGCATGTATCCTTCTCTTTGTGTGTAGGAAAATGTATATTTCATGTGGTAAAATTTTTTTTTCATACTTTTGGGTGTCTTGCACGGATTAATTTGATTTCCATTATTTCTTATGGGGAAAATTCATTCGCATACCGAACATTTCGCATAACAATCAGCCCTCTTGCACGGATTAAGGTCGCTATGCGGGGGTCCACTGTACTGTATTTTATACTGTAAGGTTTAGGATAAACACTGTGTACAACACAAATACTTGTTTATTTCCCAGAAATTTGGCATAAAAAACACGGTCGTAAGTCGAGTGGTCGTAAGTCGAGCAGGTCGTAAGTCGGATGGTAGGTGTATTTTATTTTATTTTGTTTCTATGGTGTGAAGAAGCGTTTCCATGCATTATTATTATTATTATATTCATGGGAAGTGCTAAACCCACATGGTTCATTCAATGGAACATGGTAGAGGTGAACAAAATTTCAGAACAGAAGAGGTGGAGGTGTTAAGGGGAGGACATGAACAGAATGGGAAGGGAAATAAGGGGAAATGCAGTTAAAAAATTCTGCAATAAAGGTGGAAGTCTCAGAGAGCAACACAGGCAGAGCAACCATGTCAGTCACCAGCTAAATGTCAAAGCAAATTCTGATGAAAGGGACAAAAATTACCCTGTTTGTTATTACCTTCTCCATGTTCTCATAGTCTAGCTTAAAGATCCAGAGTTTTAATCTGGCGGGAAGTTCAGATATGGACGACAGCATCATAAGACACTGTTCTGCCGACCCCAGAGGAAGGTATGGGTTGTAAATGGTGGCTTCTTGAATCTTGTGCCTCTCTTCTGGTGTTGGTAACATTGTAGTCAATAATTTCTGCAAGATAAGAAAATAAGTTATTCAGTGCAAAACACTATGTCATTTTTAGGTTCTGGGTATACCTGGAGAGGGTTTCAGGGGTCAACGCCTTCATGGTCTGGTCTATGACCAGGCTTCATGGTGGATCAGGGCCTGATCAAGCAGGCTGTAACTGCTGGCAGCATATAGACTGATGTAGGAACCACAGCCTGGCTGGTCATGTACTGACTTTACGTACCTGTCCAGTGCTTTCTTCAAGACAACCAGGGGTCTCTTACCAATAGAAATAAAATAGGCCTAATTATTTTTAATAAAGTCTAGAATAAATCATTAAATTATTATGAGGACTTACAAGCTGACATCTGAATAGTGTACAGGTGTACAAGTGCACAGGTGTACAAGTGCACAGGTGTACAAGTGCACAGGTGTACTAGTGTACAGGAGTACAAGTACAGTAGGGTCTTGCCTTACCGTGTTCTGCTAATTCGGCAATTTAAAATTACGACCAAAACTTGCTATACGGCGAGTGGTCTTTCAAATATGGCGCACCCCACCCGGTTTGTTTACATTCTCCATGAGCTCATCTCTCTATTATGTCTGGAAACTTTCCAAACTTTCAAGTGTTTTAAAGTTATTGAATATTTTATATGTACAGTGGACCCCCGGTTAACGATTTTAATCCGTGCAAGAGGGGTAATTGTTATGCGAAATAATCGTTATGTGAATGAATTTTCCCCATAAGAAATAATGGAAATAAAATTAATCCGTGCAAGACACCCAAAAGTATGAAAAAAAAAATTTTACCACATGAAATATACATTTTCCTACACACAAAGAGAAGGATACATGCACAATAGTAGAGTAGTACATGCACAATATATATTGTGCATGTACTACTCTACTAAATGAAGAATAAATGACACTTACCTTTATTGAAGATGCAGCAATGACTGATGAGACACTGCGTCCTGGGAGTGCCTTTTCCTCCTGAGTACTGTAGGTCCTGTTTGGTATTTTCTTCCAGAACAGGCCTTATCACAGTGTGTATGTCACTACGATTCTTAAATCTCTCAAACCAACCTTTGCTGGCTTTAAATTCACCAATATGAGCACTAGTTCCAGGCATTTTTCCCTGTTCACCTGGGTGTTAGTCGACTTGTGTGGGTTGCATCCTGGGAGACAAGATTAAGGACCCCAATGGAAATAAGTTAGACAGTCTTCGATGACACTGACTTTTTTGGGTTATCCTGGGTGGCAAATCCTCTGGGGTTAATTGTTTCTTGGTATTCTCAATAAGCCACACCAACAACGGTGCTACAGCAGCAGCAGCAGCTGACAGTGCAGCAGCAGCAGCAGCTGACAGTGCAGCAGCAGCAGCAGCTGACAGTGCAGCAGCAGCAGCAGCTGTACCACCAATAGTAGCGATGGTTGATTGGGGTTTATTATACAACCTGGCCAGCTCGGAGACATGCACTCCACTTTCATACTTATCAATGATCTTTTTCTTCATCTCTATTGTAATTCTCACCCTTATTGCTGTAGGGTTGGCACTAGAAGCTTTCTTGGGGCCCATGGTCACTTATTTTCCAGAAAAAGCACCGAAAACACTGCAATAATACGAAATATTCCGATTGTATGCTTGGATGTTACCGCGGAGGCTGGCTGGTAAACAATGCCACCGGCGGAACATGTGAGCGTGGCTCAGGCCGCACATTGGACGCGTCTCGGACGAAAATCGGTAAGCGGGTTTTTAAGCGGTATGTGAGGCAAAATTTTTGCAATTAAAGTAAGCGGTATGCGAAATAATCGCTATGTGATGCCATCGTTATGCGGGGGTCCACTGTACTCTGATAATTATACTTATGTGTACCTGTACCTAAATATGCTTACACACTGTGCTGGCATGCAGGTACACATTAAAATCACTGATAGTCTCTCTACTCTTAACATAATACGCAATGCCTTGGGTGCAATAAATGTCTTATATTACATTAATATAGACATTTCCATTAATCCAACTATGATATTCTTTTCAAAATTATGTAATAAACAAGCTATGTAACATATAGACATAATGAATACACCCCATAGTAGAATAAATTAACATGAGATGTAGTAGCCAGGCGACTTGTAGTCCAACATCACAGAAAATATATCACTATAAAATTACTGTGGGTAACTAGAAAATTATTCCTTTCATATGCCTTCACTCAGAGCGTCATTTCTTCTAAAAATGGTGTTACAGGAGAATGGGAGTGTTTCTCTTTATTTATTCTACTGTATCAATGTGGAGACAACTTGTACACAATGTAAAGTGATGAAAACCAAACGCATTCACCTGGTTTGTTTACATTATGTGTGGGTGGGGTGGGGTGGGGAGCTCTGCCTTGGCTGGCTACCACCTGACTTCCTACAAATAAAACTCACCTCTCACCCTACATTAAAACTACAAATATTTTAAGTTAATTAATGAATGTACTGTGTATGTATTTGATCGCTCTGGGGTGCTTCAATTAAATGTCGTAGTATATTACGTGTGGGTGGGGTTGGCTGACCTGGCTGGCTACCAAACTTCCCAAACCTGACTTCCTACAAATAAAACTCACCTCTTGCCCTACATTAACCCTTTCAGGGTTTCCGACGTACTAGTATGGCTTATGTACCAGGGTTATTGACGTACTAGAATGCCTAAATTCTAGCGCCTTCAAATCTAGTAAGAGAAAGCTAGTAGGCCTACATATGAAAGAATGGGTCTATGTGGTCAGTGTGCACAGTATAAACAAAATCCTGCAGCACACAGTGCATAATGAGAAAATAAAACTCCGACCATGTTTTTGGTTTAAAACAGCGACTTTGCAGTTTATTTTCGTATGGAATTTATCGTTGTATTCTAGTTTTCCTGGTCTCATTTTATAGAATGGAAGACATATTACAGAAATTGAAATAATTTTGATTGGTTTCATAATGAAAAGTACCTTGAAATTGAGCTCAAAGTAGCAGAAATGTTCGATTTTTACCAAATTTTCAAAGTAAACAAATCATGCCAAGCATCCAATACACGTCAACTGGCGAGTCTAATATTCTTTCTTTCACAAGTGCACTGATATTATTTATACCATTTCTACACAACTTCTACACTAATGTAGTAGTCTGCATAACAGTAAATCTTCTATTTTTTGTGAGAATAAAAATTCAAAGTGGAATGCAAGAGAGATGTAAGAGGGGCCTGGGGACATGAATGTTTGGAATGCCAGGAATGTCTGTCTTGCTTATGTCAGCATAGTTGCTGATCCCTGTGTTATATAGCATAGCATATTAGTATCATCCATGTGCTTTAGATAGGAGATCCCTTGTAGGCCTGTGACTTTGTGTGACGTCACGGGATGCGCATGTGTAGGCTCATACCTCTGCCTCCCTCTCACTCGGCGGCAGACCATCCAGACTAAAACACGGCAAGGCTGGGCTCCATTCCTCATCATCTCAGTCTGACAATATATGTTACCATCCGACAAGTGTGTCTACCTTCAACCCTCGATATCTCCATTTAAGAACCCCTACGATAAATGGTGGCAACGGAGGGCCTGTAATTCTGACGATTACAGCGATTTCTGGAGATAAATTTCAACCAGCAAGATGGCCATTTCGTGTCACCAGTAGGCCGACCTAGCCAGCCTGCTACCTCAAGTCAGCTACTCTCCCCAGCTTCTACACCATTCATTGGTCAGTCTCTTTGTATTAGTGTTTATCTGCTTATTTGCATCACTCCCGAGGGGTTGACCCGAGTTTGCAAAATAAGCCAGCTTCCAGTCTGTGGTGAGGAAGCCCAGTCGAGCCTAGTCTACTTCATCCAGTTCTTTTGCCTGCCAAGCCAGCTTTCCACCCCTTCTGTGCTCATCGTGTGAGGTTGTCAAGCCATTCTGTATGAAGGGTCAAGATAAGCCAGCAAGCAACTAACCCAGTTGTTGTACCCCAGTACTCAAGCAAGCCACGTGAGTAGTCTTCATCGCTTGTGATTCAAGCTCCAAGTCATCCTGAGTGCTCTTTTTTCATCCTTGTGGTGTTGTAGTATTCCGTGGGTGTATTTTAAGCTAGCCAGCTTAGAATATCTTCGCGGCAGTGTGGCTGTCCTCAGTGGGGCTTATGCCATTCAACCCATAAGCCCAGCCACCCACGACCACGTGTGTCACACCATTGCCGGTCTCAGCCCTGTTATACCCACAAACCCAACTACACCCACCACGCGGCCTCAGACGCCTCACTCAGCCATTACCCACTCGCCTAACTTCTTCAGTGTTTTGGTAAACTACTAAGGGTTGTAGCACCATATTTTAAGGACCACATAGGGGGTCAAGAGCTAGTGTGTGTTTTGCACCACCGTTAAAAGCCTCCTGTGTGAAGTCTATCGCCGATGTAAGCGCAATTCTACGATCACGTGTGCAGAGGACAGCAGCAAGACGACATAAACAATCCTCTACTCTCCACTACCATCAACCTCATTCTTCACCAAGTCGTTACAGCGATAATATTTTTTTTCATAGAGACATTTGCGAGTGTTGAGACATTTCTTTTGTTTCCAGTGATTTTTCTCTTAGTGACATTCAGTGACTCTCGATCAGACTCAGTGTTTGTTTGCAATAATCTTTTAATCTCCTTTATTCAGTGTTAATTTCCGTGCATTATCTTATGTCTGTTGTGTTGTGTGTCTTTTTATACACTTGAAGTAAGTACTTAGTGTTTTTCCTTTGTTGTGTGTGCAACATATGAGCAGTATAGAACTTGTGTTTACACTTCAGAATCACCTAGTGTTATCAGTATTCCAGTGAAGTATTTCAGTAAATTTTTCACCTCATATTCTGCATCACAACTCAGTGTTGTCTGTTATAATTTTTTTTTCTTCCCAGTATTTGTGTATTTTTGTTTTGTTCCCTGTGTGTTGAACATTCTTGTGTTCATATTCTTTCATTTAGCCAGTGTCTAATTTGTCTTATTTCCACAGACAATAGTGCCATTATTTTGTT